TGCCGGCTGGGCTTAAACCACGACAAACATCAAAAGCAGCCTACCTCTTGTCACACAAACAGGATGTATTACAAAGTGTTAAAGATGGTTCAGCACACTGTGTCACGAACTGAAGCCAGTAGCAGAAGTGGTGCTTGGCAGGCCTAGGAAACAGTCACTGGCAGATGAGCTGAAGAGAAGGTAACAGCAAGAGGAGGCCTGAGGTGGAATGCAAATGCTTCTTGCCAGAAATACACACAGACACCCTGGGGCTCGGTTTCCAGCTGCTTTTATGAGGACCAGCAACAGAAAGCGCCTGCCAGGAGCTCAGTTTAAATGGAAAAGTGTTGACCAACAACTTTTAATCTCTAAGAAAGCTTTGAGCTAAGAATTCCCAGTCCTCATTTCCAGCACAGCTGTTCCCCCACACCCTGCCCAATGCTGAAGGGGGACAAGGTGCGAACAAGGGGCAGTGGAACCCCCTTTCCCAGGCTGAGGCAGAGACCTGCCAGGAGCTCACACTTAGTGCTTGGTTTCAGTGCTAGAAGTCTACACTGCAGCTGTCACAAGGGGGACACAGGAGGGAACAAAGGGGAGGACTGATCCCCAGTGATAGGATCTCTGCATTGTCAGGGGACTCTGTATCCTTTTCACCCAGCCAAGGGACACACTGGTTAGTTTTCAGCCTCTAAACTCCCCGGTTTTGTACATTTACAAACAGTTCTGTTCTCTCCCCAGAAAAGCTGATGTGTTGTGGAGTATTATGGTGTGACAGAAGAGTTGACCAGGCTCTGTCATTTAAAAATACTGTATTTTATTTATATTTACTTAGGAAAACCTAAGGGTAAATGAGCTGAGAGTGTCACCAGTGATGAACCCACACAAGGACTATGAGACAAGAGATCTTCACAACCGTATTACACAAAAACCCCATGAAGAAGTGAGAAATTGTTCAGGTGCTTTTATCTGGGCATCAGGAAAACCCCTGGAGCAACAGCTTTCATAGGAATAGTTTTCTTCTCAATGGAAGCAGGATGCAGCTAGCATCCAGATTAGTAGCATTCCCTTGCCAAAGTATCACCCCTGTGAGAAAGCTGGGATATTTATTGATTGTACTGACACATCACGGCTAGTAAACTTGCTCTCACAATAACTCCTTCAACCACAACTCTGATAACACCTTACAACCAATCTGCCTTCCAACATGTAGTATGTCACACCCCAATGCCTGCCTGGTTTCCTGTAAGGCAAGAGATCTGTGGGTTGCTCATGCAAGTCAGTGGCACTATGCCGATCTGGCTGATGTGGCAGAGCTAAACTCCATGGGAGCTATTTTGGTGGTCTCTTCAGTACTGCACAACAAAAGAAGCATGGTCTAAAGTAACATCCACCTACAACACACTAGTAGATCATTTCAGATTCAGTACTATGTACAATTTACTCTTACTTAGTATACTAAGGAGCTGTGGTATTTCTTCTGAGGCGTGTTATTTGACTGAGGATTATTGAATCTGTCCACTGGGCTGCAGAGCGATGCTGCACTCTGGCTATACCATCAGGTTAAGAAACTTCAACAACCTGCCTCAGTTCTTCAAACAGAGGTGCAAGCTCCTTCTCTAGACTTAGAATCAGCCCTGGAAAGAGAGGAGAGACAACAAACATCCCATCAAATGACATAACTGAGAAGCCTCTCTGCAAACCTCACCACTCCCTCCCCTCCCAAGTCACAGGCAGCGTGTTCCAAAACACACAACATTTCTCTGAGCTGGTCGCTCTCCACAGGAACAACAGCGGCACAACCCATGCAGCACAGCTCCCCTGTCCTGCTGGCCTCCAGTGTCACCTCCCTGCTTCCCACAGCTGCCAAGGCCCAAGCAGCTGCGCAAGGATTCAATCCCTTTGGCTCACACTCATTAACCAGTGCTCACACGAGCAAGGCCAGGTGCCTTGCTGGAGGACTCCCCACCCCACACAACTGAGGGAATGAAGCCACACATGTTAATGCAGAACCTAACTTGGAAGAGACTGACCAACTAGTGCAAGCACTGAGGTGCAGTGAGCATGCTCACACAGCAAGGGTAAGGCTGACTACAGGAGAAATACACTTCTAACAGAGTCACTTAAAAAGCTACACATTTTTACTGACAACTTCCATAGAATCATAGAACCATAGAATGGTTTGGGTTGGAAAGGACCTAAGATCACCCAGTTCCAACTCAATGCCATGGGCAGGGACACCTTTCACTAGACCAGGTTGCTCAAAGCCCCATCCAACCTGGCCTTGAACACTGCCAGGGATGGGGCATCCACAGCTTCTCTGGGCAACCTGTGCCAGTGCCTCAGCACCCCCACAGGTAAGAATTTCTTCCTTACATCTACTCTAAATCTTCCCTTCACAATATGCTGACAAAATTCGTATCAGGAGCAAAGTTAATATACATCTAAGTAAATTCAGGTGATTTGTTTTTAATTATTTAAACATCTGGGCCTTAAAATACCACAATATTTAAAATACACATGAAGACATACCGGTATTGGCATTGCTGCTAGCAATGAAGCTTACTACCAAAGGTAAGCGATTGAACTGCACCACCTGCAAGGAGAGAGAACAGTGTTCAGCTAGCAGTGAAGCACATTGGATGTCAGAGCTCTAACACTTAAATTCTTTCTGAAACAGGCAGCCTCTTCAGTTGAAAACAACAACAGAACTAACACCATGCTACCAGGAGCTCCATGCACAAAGCCTGGCATTTCCCTCCTTCCCATGTGTTATCCACCACACTCTCCACAGGCAGCACAAGACCAGGGGGGTTTATTGTTTTAAAATACTATTGTGTGTTCAGCAGTATCTCTACTTCCACCAACAGGGAACTGGAATCTTGAGCACAACGAGCAGCTAGGCACTTCAAAAGAAAACAGTGCACTCCATGTGTGTAAACTAACTCATTCACCTGTTTGTTCTCCAAACAAGCTAGATACTGTAGGTTAAATAGCTGGCAGTTTACTTGCAGTCAAAATGAAAATAAAATAAACAGCTCTCAAAACCACTAGGACTTCAGAAGGAGCAGAAATTTCACAGGCAATGGATTTCAGGACACAAATAACCAGTTTGTGAGGGGGAAAAAAAAAAATAAAAAAATGAGAGTGGCATTTCCAAGCTTTCTTATCTCTAAGTCATACTGGCAGCAAGATTAGCTATGAAGCAGGCTGCATGTGCTTATTAGCTTAGGTGTCACTAATTATAAATAAATATTGTTTGTGAAAGAGAACATAAACCCTTCACAACAGATTGAAGGCCATGTAAGCAGCACCTGCTCCAAATTCCTGATTCCCACCTCTTCAAAAAACATCACCATTTTCAACCAGCAAATCTCAGTTTTGAGAAATACAGGAAAAGCCTAACAAATGGTGTGACAGTTTAAGCTTTGGCATTTAAGCAGTGTGAGAAATAACACACAAATACTTCAACAGCACCCAAGTGGAAATCTGACAGAGCTTAAACAACCCCCTCTCCCTTGCTCAGTGCAGAATCATGGAATGGTTTGGGCTGGAAAGGACCTTAAGATCATCCAGTTCCAACCCCCTGCCATGGGCAGGGATGCCTCACACTAGACCAGGTTGCTCAAGGCCATGGCCAGCCTGGCCTTGAAAATGTAATGCAGGAACAGCTTAGGTCACCAAGAACAAACCACACCGAGGTGACTCACCTGGTATGTATTGTAATAGCAGATGATACTTTTGTTTTTAGACAGTCCCAGTTTACTGCCCTGATCTGTGGCAAGGGCAAAAGTAGACAGAAAGCCTGGTCGCAGCGCATGTTCTGGAGCGTTATCATTGGCAACTGGAACAAAACAAGACAATTCTTATCACTACATGGTATGTTTGATTGCATCTCAAATTGTCACCCGGCTGTCCTCCACCAGTAGTACATCTGCTGTTGGGGAACACATAACACATCTCGTGCTTCCACAATGAGTTGAGGACAATCTTCATGAGCAGTACATAACTTAAGATTCTCTACATCATCAGTGTATCCTTCCTCGCACACCTAAGGAACAGGATCTTCCTTCAGGATGTGCAGCCTGTGCTGATGTCGCTTTGGTTGTGTCCCTCACTGTCTGTACTGATTCCAGTCCATGAACTGCTTACCAGCATACAGTCCATAAACTGGTGTGCTAGGTCTTTAAATACTTTGGGACATTAAAAAGATCTGCAGTACTTATATCTTTGTATTCTTAAACTAATGTACTTACAGTATAGAAACATCTTAAACAAGGACTGCAGAAATTAGAAAAAAGCTACAGTACCCCAAAGTAAACAAGGCACGTTAAGTTCCCTCTGGTACTCTGTATCCACCAGCCTAGGAGCAGCCTGAAGACGCAAGGATCTTGCAGCACTCCAACCCTTTTCACCAAGGAGAATCTCTTTGGCCTGCAATTACTGAGGCCACAAACAAAGCATAAGTTTAAAGAGGTACATAATCGGCTATTGAAGTAAAAGTCTGATTTAATTCATTGATTTTGGATACTCAGGTATTGGGCACAACCAAGGCAGATTCTGCTGTGCTGCTCCACCCCCTGCTGTTCAGTCACGGCATCGGCTGCAGGGCTTAAGCAGAAGGTGGAGTTACCTTTGATAACAGGCACTCCATCTCTATCCGAGACGACAATAGCATGAAGACCTTCAACGCTGTGAAAAAATGACGAGACACCATCTTAAAACCAGAGTAATTAGTAGTAAAGATCTTGTTTTCCCTGAACAAACGTGCAAAGGAAGGGGGAAATACGGGAAAGGATGACACCTTCACTAATTCAGTGTTTCACAGAAAGGGGCTTGTTCTGTACACTGCAGGTGGGCTCTTGGAGCAGTAAAACAAGAAATATGAAACGAAACTATTAACAATTCTATGGGACTCCCAGCAACTGGCACTTGCCACGAGGACCGGTACAACTAACCGAGTTCCCTTAGTCAAGCAGGAGCCTTCTTGTGCTGTCCTCGCCCAGCGAGCACCAGTTTCCCCCTCCCTGCAGCCTGTCTCAGACCTGCGGCTGTGGCAGACCTGTTTAACGCTGCCAGTAACCGGCAATTGCGGAGAAAGGACCTGTCACGGATCAGACAACCCAGTCACGAGGAACGGCTTTTCCATCCACCCGTCAGCCGGGCAGGACGAGCACACCCCACCGCTTCCCAAAGAGCGAGTGGAAGGCGAAGCTCTCATCATCCTTCGGCGCTCCCACACCACTTGAGGGGCCCCGAGCGTGTACCGGGGTGAGCG